ATTTCTAACTAATACTGCAAAACTGAACTCAGGTATTTACGGAGCTTTCCCTAATTTACCAGAACATGGTTAGTCTCCCTTCCTCTATGTCCTCTCACAGTTATCCCTGTTCTACAGCAATAGTCATATTACCTTGTCATTGTTTAATCTGTCTCTCCCACTGGACTTTGTCCTTGAGGGACTATGCCTTCCTCATCTCTGCATTCCCAGAACTGTGCTTCATGCCCGCCAAATGTCTGTTGATGAATATATGAAGAAATGGAAACCAAAGTTTAATAGGCAAAGTTTTTAGTTTGTGTTGGAAACATGTTGCTTCCCTTTCTGATGATACCGATGTGTGTGCATGCATGCCCACCTACACTCCTCACCTAGGGATATTTCTTTTCATCTCCATCCCTCTTTTCTTTACATTGGTGCCTGAACTGCAAATTCTTTAATTCTTTGGAAGATAGGGTTCTGTATAGAAAAAGTGTAGATTTTTTATAGGTTGGGACAAGAGAAAGGGCCCAAATTTGCTTTCTCACTGAAATAAAATAAGTATTTATCCAAAAAATAGGATTTAGATGAGCCCTTTCAGATCTAAGCTCCTATGATAATTTTATATCTGACAAATCTGGATGTGCAGAAGGCAGTAGCAGAATCCATAAAAAATGAAATGATAGCCTTCTGGGAATAGATATTTTTTTAACATATATGACAAGCTTAATATTAATGAGATGCAAACTTTAAGAAGAACTTGAGCATCCTGTTGGGAAAGTTATTAAAGAATATGAACAGAGAATTAACCAAAAAAATGAAAATTGCCAGCAAGCATAGAAAAATATTCAACTTAATTAGGAATGAAAATATGCAAATTAAATCAAAATTAAGACTTCATTTTATCTTAGTAGCAGAGTTTTTTTAAAAAAATAAATGCTAATAGCCAGTGTAGGTAAGGATATGAGAAAATAAGCTTTGTATACTAATAGGGGAGTATAAATTGGTATTAATCTTTTTGACAAGAAGTCTAAAAATTATACAGGTCTATACTTATTGATGAGAAATTGTGCCTATAACATTTTAAAGTGAAAACTATGTGTATAATCTTGTTGAGGGAAGAAATAAACTCATATGCATTCTTATATATGTGTATGTATACTAAAGAACACTGGAATTCTAGACACCAACATTTTAATAGTGATTGTTTCTAATGATGGTTTTATGGATCAGTGGTATTTCTGTCTTCCTTATACTTTGATATATAGACTAAATTTTTGTGGTAATACTTTTATTAGTCTTAATTTTTTAATAGAAAAATGTGCATATTGCTAAAAATTCAGTTTATTCAAGATTATACATTGAAAAGTAAGTCTCCTTTTCATCCCTTTGAATGGCTGAAGGCAGTTTCTGATTTTCCATTCCTGTGGTTAACCATTGTTGGGGAATTCCCTGGTGGTCCAGTGGTTAGGACTGTATGCTTTCACAGCCAGGGGCCTTTGTTCTATATCTGGTCTTGGAACTAAGTTCCCACAAGACTTCCCAGGTGGCGCTAGTGGTAAAGAACCTGCCTGCCAATGCAGGAGATATAAGAGACATGGATTTGATCCCTCGGTTGGAAAGATCCCCTGGAGAAGGAAATGGCAGTCCACTCCAGTAATTCCTGCCTGGAGAATCCCGTGGACAGAGGAGCCTGGCAGACTACAGTCCGTGGGGTCACACAGAGCCATACATGACTGAAGTGACCTAGCACACAGGTAGGGCTGCTCGTTACTGATTTATATGTCCTTCCAGAGACAGTCTATGCTGATGCAAACTTTTCTTCTTTAAACACAAATGATAGCTTGTCAATACAGGGGATTTTTAGCCCTTATATTACAACACATGAGTACTCATAGAGCTGCCTCATTCTTCTGGAGCAGGAATAAATATCCTTATACAGATTTATTTATGCATATGTGCAAGTATAGCCCTGAGATAAATTCCTAGAAGTAGAATAACTAGGTCAAAAGAAAAGTGCATTTAAAAATGTTTAGTGTGTGACTGATTGTTAGAAATAAGGAAAAGTTACAGTTCTGTTTCTCTTTTTTACACCCTATATCCAGTCCATTAGCAAATGCTGTTGCTGACTTGAAAAAATGCACAACATGAGTTGCGAGTTAAGTTTTATTAGGGTAAAAATGAGGACTACAGCCCAGGAAAGAACATTTCAGATAGCTCTGAGACACTGCTCCAAAGAGGTGGAGGGAAGGTCAGTCACATATTTTCTGCAGAAGGTTTCTGCTAGTCACTGGGCTCAGTCATCACCATGAAGGGTTTAGTGCTTTTGTAGATATGAGGACATGCAAGAATTGGGCTCATAAAATCAGCTCCTAAAAATACCTAACTATCTGAAGACCCATTCTGCCAGTTTTTCCCAAAGCACAGTGTCTCATTTCTGCTCTCCACCCTGAACTCTTTCCAGGGGGTGTTAAACAGTCAGCAGCTGCAGTGGCACCTGAGTTAATCCTTATAGAGGTAGATGGCAAGGGCCAATTTGTAGTTGACACTGTTGATTCCGCCTTCAATATATATTCAGAATCTGACTGATTCTTACCACCTTTTACTTCTACTGCCACTCTGGTTCAAGCCACATTCTCTAATTGGGGTTATACTTCAGCAGCCACCCACTGCTCTCCCTGCTTCAAACTGTTGCCCCTTTGCACACAGGAGTCAGAGTATTCCTTGCAAGGCAGATTATATCAGCCATTTACCTCACACCCTCTCAGAGCAAAGACTTCAGGGTATCTTACAAGGCATGATTAGCACCTCCCCTCTTCCCCAACTCAGATGGTAAAAGCGTCTGCCTACAATGTGGGAGACCTGGGTTTGATCCCTGGGTCGGGAAGATCCCCTGGAGAAGGAAATGGCAACCCACTCCAGTACTTTTGCCTGGAAAATCCCATGGACCGATGAGCCTGGTAGGCTACAGTCCATGGGGTCGCAGAAAGTTGGACACTACTGAGTGACTTCACTTCACTTCTTCCCCAGCAGGGGCTTTCCTGATTGTTTAGTTGGTAAAGAATCCACCTGCAATGCAGGAGACCGCAGTTCGATTCCTGGGTCAGGAAGATCCGCTGGAGAAGGGATAGGCTACCCACCCCAGTATTTGGGGGCTTCCCTGGTGGCTCAGCTGGTAAAGAATCCACCTGCAATGCAGGAGACCTGGGTTCCATCCCTCAGTTGGGAAGATCCCCTGGAGAAGGGAAAGGCTGCCCACTCCAGTATTCTGGCCTGGAAAATCCCACGGTCTGTATAGTCCATTGGGTCACAAAGAGTCAAACATGACTGAGCAACTTTCTCTTCCCCAACAATCTCTGTGACCCGCGTGATCACTTTTGCGCCTTCTTCACTTCACTGGCGGCACCCTGGTCTCACTGATGTATCTTGGTTATGTCAACCATGGTTCCACTTAGGTCATTAGGTCCTTTTGCAGTTCCTTATGCCTGAAATAATCATGACTCACTCCCTCAGCTCCTTCAGGTCCTTCTCAACTGTTGGCCTTAGTGGAGACTACCCTGTGTTTTAAATAATAATCTTTTACCCTCTCCAAAACTTTGCAGTCCTTTTCCTCTACTTTGTTACATTCCATTGCACTTGCCACCCTAAAATATCTTGTGCTGTCTAGCTAGTAGCTGTTGTCCATTTGAAATTTAGTCTAATCAAAGAAATATATTTTAAATTGCATTTAACTTTAAATTTAAATCTAAAAACTATTACTAAGTTCAGTTCCTAGAAAACTTTTTTAAGTGTATTTGAGCAACTTGGGTATGTGAATCTACTTTTGCAACTGTAAATCTTATGAAATCTAAATTCAGATCAAGTATTTCCGATGAAAATTTAGCACCCAAATTGAGATGTGTTATAAGTGTAAAATATACACTAGATTTCAGAAACTTAGAAAGAAAAAGAACTATAGTAATTTCAGTACTTTTTATGTTGGTTACATGTGAAAATAACATGTTACGTTACATGTGGATGTATGGGGCTCGATAAAATATGTTATTTAAAAATAATTTGGGATTTTCCTAGCAGTCCAGAGGTTAAGACTCCACGCTTCCACTGCAGGGAGTATGGATTTGATCCCTGGTTGGGAACTAAGATCCCGCATGCTGGAGGGCACAGCCTGCTCCCAAAAGAAAAAAATTCATCTGTTAACTTTTTACTTTTTAATGTAGCTACTGGGAAATTTTACATGTGGCTCAAAGTATTTCTGTTGGAGGGTGCTGCTCTGTTGATTTACGGAGTTGTTTATTAAGTATCTCTGTACTAGAACGTGTACTTTTTGTGGGCAGGGGTTTTACCTGTTCTGATCCATGACTATCCAGGAGGTATCCAGTACATTTTATAGAATAAATGAATTTGAATGAATTTCCAATTTTTAAGGATATTATGAGTAAAAGTTAAAAGGAAAACCAAATTTACATGCATGTCCTAGAAAGTAAACAAAAAGTTATCAAGAGTACTTATAAATAAATAGGATGCAAATTTTAAAAGGCTAAAGATATGAACAGGCACAAGTAGAAATCCAGATAACTAATAAATATATGAACAAAATTTCAACTTCATTTAAATTTTTAATAAATTCAAATTAGAACTAAGTTATCCTGTGCCAGTGAAATTGAACAAAGATAAAAGAAAAACTATACATACTTCTCTGGAAGATAGTATTGTAGTTTATATAATCAATCTTAAACTATGGATATTCTTGAACCTAGTTTTTCCACATCTAGGAATTTATTTTTAAGGATGTAATCACAGATGTATACAAAGATTTTTCTGTAATGGTCACTGCAGCTCTGTAATACTAAAATCTTACAACCAGAAAGTAATAAATAGACTTATAGTTTTCATTTCAAGTACATTAACCATAGGTCATTATAACATACCAACTTCCTCCACAATAAAAGTGGGAAACTAATTTTGTGGAAATAATTTTATATAAAAGTGTATTTAGTGTTTGTTTTATCTTTTTTACCTTTCAGAATTACCATGAAATTATGACTCGTCATCCTGAGAATTATCAGTGGGAAAACTGGAGTCTAGAAAATGTTGCCACCATCTTAGCCCACCGGTTCCCCAATAGTTACATTTGGGTGATAAAGTGTTCCCGAATGCATTTGCACAAATTCAGCTGCTATGACAATTTTGTGAAAAGCAATATGTTTGGTGCTCCAGAACACAGTACTGACTTTGGAGCTTTTAAGCACCTTTATACGTTATTAGTTAATGCTTTTAACTTAAGTCAGAAGAGTTTGCTATCAAAGAAGAATGTGAAAGATTTAAATAAGGACTCCAAAGTGTCTAATTGTCGATCCACTTCTTCTCATACTACTAATGGTTGCCAGGGAGAAAAAGACAGGACCTGTGAAAAATTTGACGAGTCTGCTATGAGTTTTTATCCACCATCATTAAATGGCGCTTCTTTTACTTTGATTGGATTCAGTAAAGGTTGTGTTGTTTTGAATCAGTTGCTTTTTGAATTGAAAGAAGCCAAGAAAGACAAGAACATCGATGCTTTTATCAAAAACATAAAAACAATGTACTGGTTGGATGGTGGTCATTCTGGAGGAAGCAACACTTGGATTACTTATCCAGAAGTCTTGAAAGAATTTGCACAAACAGGAATAATTGTTCACACCCATGTAACACCTTACCAAGTACATGATTCAATGAGATCTTGGATTGGAAAGGAGCACAAGAAATTTGTTCAGATACTTGGAGATTTTGGTATGCAGGTGACTAGCCAAATTCATTTTGCAAACGATGCTCCTTCCATAGAGAATCACTTCAGGGTTCATGAAGTATTTTAGGCTATAATATTATTAATGTAGAAGAGCAGAGCACTTTCAGAAAGTGTTATGAATTCAGATAATGAGGATGTAAATTCATAGATGCCGTGTCAGTTTTTTTTCCTGGGCATGGGGGGAAGGAAGCACACATTCCTAAAATATGGGTGTAATGTGCAATAATGTTCCTTGTTTGTGAATGTGAATAGTTTTTAATTGGGACTGGGTTAGAATTAGTTCATTTGAAATTTAAAAGGTGGTTTATGATAATCCTACAAGGAGATATAAGACCCTTAAAAATGAAAAGTTACAATACAGTCCTTATAAAAGGCAGTTAAGATTGTTATTGTTGGAAATAGTTTATTTTCTGAGTAATGTTTGAAACTAATTTTGGTGATACTTTAACAGTAAATATCTATTTCGGACTCAAAACTTTTGAGTGGGAATACTGTCTCTTCAAACAAAGTGAAGGCACACTGATGTTTCCATCATTTTGCAATAACTATACCCTGCCTCTTATGTTTATAAACTCATGAAGTTATTCAATGTGCCAGCAAGTGTTTTTTCTTAACAGTCAAAATGTGTTTGTTTCCACATATCCAAGAATGTGCAGTAGTACAGAGTTGGTTTTAAAAATATTACTGTTTAAAAATTTAAAAAAATTAAGCACTGTGGCTTAATTTTTAATTGACAACTTTTGGATAAGACATTTTGGAGTTTCTTAAATTTTGGCAAGAAAACAGTTCTTTTGAAAATTGTTTCAGATTGAACATAACTGTGTGTATTGGGTAAAAATACAGTACAGATTTAAAATCATTTCATCCTATCAGTCTTTTGAAAGAGATCAACTTAGGTAAAATATAATCTTCTACTTGGTACAGCTCTATTAAAAAGGAGACAGATTCTATAGATCGAAGTCACTGTTTCTCCTGAAGCATGATTTTGTCTGCCAAAAGCAAGCAGTTCTCCTTGGCCAAAATGCAAAATTATATTGCTATAAGAAAAGTTAAAAGGGAAAGTTTGAAGATACAAATGATTTAATTTTGGCTCAAAAACTGAATTTGCTTAACACTGCTACATAAATTGGGTGAGGTTTCCTTCTGCCCATTTTTCTTGACCTAGATAAATACATTTTGACAAACCAAGATCTAATAAATGTCAACCAACACTGAAACATAGCTGTGTGACTACAATAAAAGGTTAATGGTCTTTTAAAAATTGTTTATTAATAATTAGCTTTTATGGGTCATGAAATAATTAAGCAGGGAAGTAACATGCTGCTTTCAGATTGAAAAAACAGACTGAGGCTTAGTATCTTAATAACCAGAGGGTCTAAATATATAAAAAAATGTTAATTTCTTGGTTTCTTCCCAGAATTATATTTTAATGACTTTTGTAAGTACATTCCAAATATTTAGAGACTTATAAGAAAGGATTTTTACTTAACAGATACTTAAAAGTAATATCCCCTAATTCTATGAACTGCAGAATAGTATCTTTCAATGGTTTTCTAAAAGGATTAAGTACAATAGTTTTATGTCGCTTTGGTTTCTTTTGAGACCAAACTTTCTTTTGAGACCAAAAATTCCCAGCAAGGAAACAAGTCGGTCTGATCCTAGCATTTTATTTATTACCTTGTCTTAAAACACCATTATTGATTGGCTCCTTTTAATATGTTTTAATAATCCTTGGTTAAATTTATGTGTATCTAATGTAAATAGCTAAGTTACTAAGTATTTTAATGCAGGAGGAAGGAAAGGCTTTTATTTTTACAGAATTAACTAAAATGGAAAAGTATGACTTTTAGCAGAAGGATTCATTTAAAAATCTGAGGTATTTAAGGATTTGGTCCTTGTAGCTATCCAATCTTAACTATAATTGTTATATATTGAATGCATATTAAGAATTACTCTCTGGGACACCTGGAATTGTCATTGCATCAAAATGAGACAGTGTTGAAAAGTAGAATTATTTTCTTGAATGAAAATATATTCAAGTTGATCCATATTCAAATATTTTAATACTTAAAAACTTGTTCTTTTTCCAGATTTGTTTAAAATTGTTACAAATGTTAGTGTTTCCTTTTGGATTGTGCTTTTGTGTTTGTGTCATGAGTCAACTGAGAAAAGTAGGCAAATAATGTTAAAGTTGTTACCGCCACAGCATGAATGTACAACTGTATTAAATTTAATTCACAGAAGTCTATTTGGATGTGTGCTGTATGTTAACTAGATTTGTTTAAAACTTTAGATTGTTATTTAGAAAGAAGCTATTTCTCTCCGCTTTGCCAGTTTGGATTTGTTAATGTTTTCATTAATGTCCCTAATTTTTCATACAAGCAACTTTGAAACCTTTCCTATATAAATACATCTTTCCTTTAAATTGCTCTACAAAAATTAGCATTATTTCCTTATGCTGGATTTCCTAGAGAACAAAATCTCTCAAAAATAAGTACTTCCTTTTCTGAGCTAATCACCCCAGGTACTGTATTTCTTTAGCTGTTATCGAGGGACCTGGTTAAAATGTGGTGTGATCTGTTTTTCATTTCATTCGTGCAATATCTAAGCCCCATCGAGGGTAAAGAAGGCTTAGGCACAGGATACATACAGTGTAGACAAAACAGTCCCAGCATGTGAGTAAGATTGAAGAGTTAATGCATGAAACAAAAGATACTATTCTTAAAAGAGCTATTATTCTGTTACACTTCATTTAAGGGCTTTTAAGAGAAACCTGCTTTAGAGGGTAAGACCTCTGTGAATCCAGGTTGCTCTTTATAAAAGCATAAAGGCCAAGGATCTCTTAGTGGTAGAGACAGCCAGTCAGTCACTTAGGATGGCCACTTTAGTATTCCATTTAATGGAACTTGAAAAAATAGAATGCAACTTCAGTGTATGGAAGACACCCAAATAGCCATGGCCTGTATGTGTCAAAGAAGACTGTGAGGCAACCGAGGCAGAGACGCATGAGCGCCCACCTGTCTTAGTTCCTCCTTTTTAGCACAGGGGGCAGGACTCAGGACAGCACCGTTCCAGTTCCAGCTAGATGTGCATCGCTGCTGCTTACATTTTGCGGGGTGGTCAGCTTATAAACAGATTCAACCTTGATCTGTTGGTGAATTTAGATGAGTGAGGAAAGCCTCATTACTAAGGTTCTTTTCAAATGTTCACATAGCTGCTGTTCAGAAGGAAGGAAAGATAGGGAAAAAGCCATGTTGACCTATAGTTCCCCTTGTTTGATATTTCATCAGTGACAAGTTTGAAGTTACTGAATAATTAGAATTCAAATGTAATTATGTGCCAAGACAAATACTATTGTTTGTGACAAGATGATTAGTCTTCACCTGAGGTATTTTTAAATTTTATTTTGAAATAGTAATATACACCAGGGCAAAAAAAAAAAAAATTTAGATAATAACTGCAAATTCTAGTCTGCCCATCTTGTATAACCTCAGAGGTGATCACTGGTTTCCTGCGTATCCTTGCAGACTTGGGGCTTCCCACGTGGCTCAGCAGTAAAGAACCTGCCTGCCATGCAGGAGACAGAAGACACAGGTTCCATCCCCCCAGAGGAAGAAATAGCAACCCCGCTCCAGTATTCTTGCTTGGGAAATCTCACGGACAGAGGAGCCTGGCTGGTTACAGTCCATGGGGTTGAAAAAGGGTTGGACTTGACTTAGCAACTACACACACACACACACAATGTTTACATACAGCACACATTTCTTTTATACAAATGGTATCATACTGTACCCGTCATTTCAAACTTTTCCCATTTAATTACCTTGGGCCTTGGGAAAATACCTTGCCAGTACATACATATACCTGTGTCGTTCTTGACTGCATAGTATTTCACTTAGTCTTTCTTTGTATTCCTTGCCTATTTGGCAAGCAATGCAGTGAGAAGTTTTGCTGGCAGAGGAAAAAAATTCCTATATGCCCCTTGAACTGTAACCAAAGAATAACTGTATAATGTATTCCTAAGTATTTGAGATGAGCTGCACCTAAGGGAGAAAGAATGGAGAATTACTAATCTGGTCTCCACAACCATAATTTCAATTTCTGTCACCCAGCTGTGTGAGCCAGAAAATGATTTAAGCAATCTGGATCGACTGGATGATTTCTAAGATCCCTTTCAGCAACAAAACTCTGAGATTTGGAATTCCTGAGAAGTTGTAACATACTGTGTAATAGTTTACATATTAAAAAACATCTTTGGTCTCAACCAGGTAGGCAAAAAAGATTAAAATACTTTGCATTTAAATAAAAGACATTAAAAATTATGACCAGGAAAATAATTTTAAAGCATCCTAAAGGATTCATCTCTAGATATTACAATTTAATGTTGCAATAGGAACCACCTCAAATCTCTCAGCAAAGGAATATAATTAAATGGGAGCCAGCACCAGCCATCAACTATGTGCCTGCCCTTGAGCTATCCCCTTTATTTTTGTAGTAACCCTATAAAGTTCAAGTTTTACTTTAAAGATGAGGAAAGCTTCTTAAAGAATTATACAATTTGCCTAAGGTCATCCAGTTTACTTTCCAAGTAAAGTGAATTAAAATGAATATTCATTAGGCAAATTGTAAATGATTATGGACACAGGTATTTAAAGAGTGGACATAAGTACTATTCAAACTAAATCGGGTTTTTTTTTCTTCCCCAGGGAAAAGACTTCTTTGCTTATCCTAAGAAATAACCAAAGATCAAAATCTAGTAATTAGCTATAAAACAATTTTTTTTCTGACAGACTAGCTCTGTTGACCGAGTAACTTCAATCTTTCTTCCCAAAGATGCCTAGGAAGTTGAAAATAGTTTTCTTTATACTTTTCCTTTCTTATTTGTCATAACTTACTGTTTATAGGCTTCCCCGGTGGCCCAGACAGTAAAGGATCGGCCTGCAATGCAGGAGACCTGGGTTCAATCCCTGGGTCTGGAAGATCCCCTGAAAAAGGGAACAGCTGCCCACTCTAGTATCCTTGCCTGGAGAGCTCCACGGACAGAGGAGCCTGACAGACTATAGCCCGTGGGGTCACAGAGTCAGACACAACTGAGTGACTGACACTTTCACTCTTTAAACCTGAAATTAATCCATTCCAAATACAGGGTATGAGTGAATGTATCACTTTTATTAGAGAAAATTTTCTCCATACTTGAAATGCACTAAATCGATGTAATCAGATTGCTTTATATGAGCACATTTGTGTTCAATAAATATATCTGGTCTCTCTTCAATGACACTGCAATATAATTACTAGGTGCAAAACAAAAGATAGCACAGATCCACATACAGACGCTCACTGTCTTCAGTGATGACAGCATTATTGAGATCTCTCGTGTATGCATTCTTAAAATAAACTTTCTCTTTAAAAAGGGGATAGGCAGAAAACATCTCATGGGGAAAACCTGAATGAGGTTAAAGTTTAGCCACAGGTATAAATTAAAACAGGCCCGAGTATTCAAACCTGAGAAAAAGGGCAGGCATGACGTTGACACCAAGAAAACAGCGATGAGGACCACAGTCAGACGGAACAGTTGCTTTGGACAAATCACAAAACTCAGTCCAAATTACTGTTACCTGATCCCGGGGTTCTCAACTGTAATTACGCATCAGAAACCCCACAAATCTCTTAGATACCTGTGCCAAACTCCCTAAATACTGCTAAATACTGCTCTACAGAGATGAGGCCTATGTATCTGTAAGTTATAAAAAGCTCAAAAGATTAATGTAGTACACATATTGTTGGTTGCCCACGTTTTTTCCCTTATCTAAATTGATTCTAAAAATGACCCATTCTGCCCTCTTAAATACCTCCTGTGTCTCAGAGGAAATGAATTCCACTTCCAGCTACAGTAGACCCAACTGACCTAAGAGTTAGTTATTCCATATCCTTTACCAGTGACTGGCCTGCGGGTGGAACAGGTCTAACTAAGCCCCTTTAGATCAATGAGACCCAAGCATCTGGTGGCAAATTCCAGGAAAGCTTCTGCATGTTAAGAGAGGGCCCTGAAATCCTCCCTGATTCCTGCACTGCATGTCAATGAAGATGCACACAGTCCCAACTGCTACTGGCAAACATCCCGTGACCACGAGGGTAGCCAGCACTAGATGATGCCAATGCTGCAGCTGAAAACAGCAGGGAGAAAAAAAGCCCAGAGGTTCTTGGTGACCCTCCTACGGGATCACTGGAATACAAGTACTGAAGCCCTTTTTATCAATTAACTTCAGTAGATTTTCTCACTGTTTAGGTCATTTTAACTTGGACTTTTAATTATTTGCATCTGAAAGCTAACGGGTTACCCCACTGTAGCACCTTTACAATCATGTGTGCTGTGCTTAGTCAGTCGTGTCTAACTCTTTGTGACTCTATGGACTGTAGCCCGCCAGGCTCCTCTATCCATGGAGGTTCTCCAGGCAAGAATACTGGAGTGGGTTGCCATGCCCTCCTCCAGGGGATCTTTCCAACCCAAGAATCAAACGCAGGTCTCCTGCATTGCAGGCTGATTTTTTACCATGTGAGCCACCAGGGAAGCCCTAACAATCTGTATTAAGTAGAAACCACACAAACATGCCTTCACACTAAATGTGTAAATCTGAGATTGATTTATCTTTCCTATTTTAAAAAAGATTAAATCTTTAAAAAACTAATTTACATCTTGTTACACTTTTCCAATATTTGGGCTGAACTGTATTTAAAAGTTTATGCTCACTGCATTCATTTCCTTATTCATTCAAAGTTTTTGCTATAGGCTTTATCTTGAATGTGCAAGACCATTCGCCGTGCATAGAAGTCCCTGTATTCCTCTGGTAATTCAGCCAGTGTTTTTAAGGCTCTGTCCAAAATTTGTACAGCTCTTGATGCTGCCGTCAGATCTTTGTTTCCATAGGTATCCGTTTTATCATAGCATTCAGATGGAAGGTGCTTCCAAAAGACATTCACTCCCACTCCAAACTCTTCAGAAATTACATTATGGAACCATAAAGCTGAAGAAGTATTAAAAAAAAAAAGTTAAAAATAAAAGCTACAGTTTAAAAAAAAAACAAAATGTCAGTGAAATATCACGAATTGCATATAGCCAATTCAAGAAATAAATCTTATAACTAGATTCCTTCGTTAGCACACTCCTAGCTTTTAACAGAATCATTTTAACTTTTATGAATTGCCAACCAATTTAAAGTGTCAATAGCACAACCCTACATTTAAAACTTCTGAAAGTAGCAATTTTTCCTTTTAACTTGAAAGACACAAAGTTCTATTTGTTTTTAGTTCTGTAATTTGGGGCTGTGATTTGTGTTACTTGTTTACACTTCCTGAGTCACACACCACATCAAAAATGTTCATTTTTTATACACAGAACATTTCAATTATTTGAGGAGTATCTTTGACCTTTTCTGACTCAGTACAGTACTTTTGTTCTCAAAGACTTCCTGTTTAAGCTGCATTTGGTTTTCTAACTTGCTTAAAAATCTGCATTCATTGTAGCCTCCCCAGTTTTATATTTCCAATACAGTTACAATCATCCTATGTAAAGGAACATTAGTTCCTTTACAATATATATATAAAAGTAAAGCAAATATTTTGGTTGTGGAAAAGATGAGTAAACTTCATATAGCTAATTAATATTTTACTTCCACCAGAAAGTTTACATCTTTGTTTTCAGTTGAGAATAAATATTTTCAAAACACAGGTGCTAAAGAAATACTAAACCAACACTACACAAAGATGAAATGCTAGTCACATCCAAAAAGTGTTTAATCTTGTGACAGAAAGGAAGATTTATAAGATGCTAAATTTTAGAAATAAACTCATTATAAGAGTGCTCTAGAAAAAACAAAAGCCTAAAATATTTTGATTTACAAAACTAGGTTCCAAACATGGTTTTAATCTTAACTACTCTTTCTTTCAGAACCTTTTTTTCCTTATTCAATGATAATAGGGAAAAAAGCTAACCATTCTGTTAAATTTAAATCCAAAGATGGGACTTCTGCTCCTATTTCAAAATATCTACAAATGTTCAGTATTTTTCCTCTTTTAAAATTGTATACAGAATAAGGCAGAACTGCATCACCCTTAACCATGCTCTCAAGATATAAAACCCCCAAATTTAAGTAATGGCAATGGATTTAAAACACAGTGTGCTGTGACTGTTTTCAATGAAGATTGAGAAGTCAAGGTATTAAGCTTTTATACACAATTATGTAAAGTACACTAAACAGGACAACAGAAAGATTAACAAACTATGGTTCCCTGTCCCCAAGGAATTTATAATCTAGTCCCAAATACGATCATTTTATTATCAATATTTTTAATCTTATCACTCAAGAGGTATTATTATAAACATATCAACTTATATATGAAAAGTAAAACTATAAGCCAAATTTGTTAATGCACCCCTTAATTATGATTTTTATAGTTTTCATATATTCAGTTTTGCATAATTACAGATGTTAACTGTATCATTGGTTACTAATAACAACTAATACCTATATACTGTTCAAAGAAATTAAGTGACACTAATTCAGACTGTAGAAAAATAGTGCACAATAGTGTACATCATAGGTATTGCATTATAACATTTGATATTTAATAAAATAGTTTGGCTTTGAAATATATTTACTATTTCTTCATAATTACTTAAGTGCCAGTTCTAAAACATGTAAATATTTTAGAAACAAAATTATTTTAAAAGTACCATGAGGTACAATTTTTTTGCAGATATATAGTATCTGGCTTAGTATCCTTTAATAAGAGAACTTAAGAGTATAATAATATATTTATAGGTTGTCTTTGAAAAACAAGACTTAATATTGTAAGAATCTGTCTTAGCATACTTTAAACACACACATTTGTATATAAAAAAATCATCTTGTATAGGATAGGATACAGAAAACAAACTTTTGTATTAAAAAAATAACATAATGGTCACGTGACTGAGTATAATTATTATAAAAAGCAAGTTACTGAAGTCTAGAAATCTTACCAGGAATGAATAGCACATCTCCAGCTTTAAGGGAACATTCATACCTTCTAGCCTTGGAAAACAGCGGATATTTAGCTAAGTCTGGGTTATCTATGTTCAGTACTTCTGACTTAGAACCTGAAAAGTTCCAAAACAGGATGATATAGATTGAACACAGCATTTTTTTTAAATAACCACAAATATAAATTTGAAAATTTCTTTTTTTCCTTAACAACTACTTTACCGTATCACACTGTGAGAACAATTACTGTTCTCCTGAAGACAATTTTCAGTGACCTACCCTTTATTTATAACCATTGGCATTCAAGTAATATAATCAAGATCTGAAAAGTTCATTATTCATATAACCTATCATCTCATGTATACATGTACACAATGAAGAACACAATACAAGACACATATACAAATACAACACAAGAATCATAATTAGGAAGAAGCCCTACAAAGTTTTTCTTTGAGAATGAAGACATTAAAAAAAATAAAACTTTAGAAATTTATTCTTAAAAAAAAAATAGTACCTGATAAATATAAATATTGGGCATCTCGAGGACTGAAGAGAACAACACGCTTTTTTCCTGTCACTTGTATTAAGAAATTATCCATTACCTGAAGGCAAATAAGAACTTATGAAAAAGCATAAAATTCTAATATACAGAATCAGTGGTATTCCAAAGTTAACCATAAATCCTATCTTTTAATAAAGCTTGACTCAGATTACCTCAAACTCTTATAGTAATATTCTAATTTAAGAGTGAAAACAGATATGTTACACAACTGTGTCATTATTTCTCCAACACTGCCTTAAAATGGGAAGGATTCGAAGGCCGTCAGAAAACCTGCTCAGAACACATCTGTCTCTGCCTCATCATTATGACAGCAGGTATAGTTACATTTATTTGAGGATTCCTTTGGTAAGTACGACCAACTTCCCTGGTGGCTCAGATGGTAAAGTGTCTGCCTACAATGTGGGAGACCTGGGTTCAATCCCAGGGTCAGGAAAATCCCCTGGAGAAGGAAACGGCAACCCATTCCAGTACTCTTGCCTGGTAGGCTACAGTCCATGGGGTCGCAAAGAGTTGGACACGACTGAGCGACTTCTTCACTTTGCATTTTCACTTTGGTAAGTATGGGTTTCCCAGATGGCACCAATAGTAAAGAACCTGCCTGCCAGAACAGGACATGTAAGAAGTGCTGGTTCGGTCCATGGGTTGAGAAGATCCCCTGGAGGAGGGCATGAAGCCCACTTCAGTATTCCTGCCTGGAGAATCCCATGGCCAGAGGAGCCTAGAGGGCTACAGTCCATAGGGTCACAAAGAGTTGGACCCAACCGAAGTGACTTAGCACACACACATGCACGTTGTAAGTATCTATTTTACTTACCTATCAAGGAACACTGTAAGGCCGACATTAGATAGGATGAGAGCACTTAGAAAAACAGGTGTTGAGGGAGCACACAGTAGGGCTGCAACTGCGGCCAACCAGAATTTGGTTACAGGAGGATATGCTGATTTCCAAATTACTTCCATGGACCATAACTTGGCAAATAATTTTGATGAACTTAGTAATAATGGAGCAAAGTTGACTTTTCTCATGTTGGTAAGGGTACACAGCATTAGTACAAATTTTGAAAAATCCTAAAAGCAGAGCTACAAGGACTTCCCTGGCAATCCAGTTATCAAGACTACATGTTTCCAATGCAGGGGGTGAAGGTTCAATCCCTGGTTGGGAATCTAAGATCCCAAATGCCTCACAGTGCAGCCAAAAATAGAAAGAAAAAAAAAAAAGGCAGAGCTACATTAATTCTCAGCTAAGGAATTAAAATATATACTAAGCAAGACATATTCATGATTATTTACATATCACTTCAACTTAAACATTTCTCCTTTAACGCTGACTTATGTTAAGCTTTAACTATGTAACTAGCATTCCTTTGACTTATGTTTATGTTTAAGAAAAACTTCATAATATTTAAGATAAAACTGATACTACATAAAATTTGTGGATACAGTTAAAAGTATGAGTTATCATTTTCTCACCATATTATTCATGTAACTAAAACCTCAATAGGAAAAGGAGTACGTCAAGGCTATATAGTGTCACCCTGCTTATTTAACTTATATGCAGAGTACATCATGAGAAACGCTGGGCTGGAGGAAGACAAGCTGGAATCAAGATTGCCAGGAGAAATATCAATAACCTCAGATATGCAGACGACACCACCCTTATGGCAGAAAATGAAGAACTAAAGATCCTCTTGATGAAAGTGAAAGAGGAGAGTGAAAAAGTTGGCTCAAAGCTCAACATTCGGAAAACTAAGATCATGGCATCCGGTCCCATCACTTCATGGCAAATAGATGGGGAAACAGTGGAAACAGTGGCTAACTAATATTTTTCTGGGCTCCAAAATCACTGCAGATGGTGATTGCAGCCATGAAATTAAAAGATGCTTACTCCTTGGAAGGAAAGTTAAGACCAACCTAGATAGCATATTAAAAAGCACAGACATTACTTTGCCAACAAAGGTCCATCTAGTCAAGGCTATGGTTTTTCCAGTAGTCATGTACGGATGTGAGAGTTGGACTATAAAGAAAGCTGAGCGCTGAAGAATTGATGCTTTTGAACTGTGATGTTGGAGAAGACTCTTGAGAGTCCCTTGGACTGCAAGGAGATCCAACCAGTCCATCGTAAAGGAAATCAGTCCTGGGTGTTCATTGGAAGGGCTGATGTTGAAGCTGAAACTCCAATACTTTGGCCACCTGATGTGAAGAGCTGACTCATTTGAAAAGACCCTGATGCTGGGAAAGATTGAGGGCAGGAGGAGAAGGGGACGAGAGGATGAGATGGTTGGATGGCATCACTGACTCAATGGACATGGGTTTGGGTGGACTCCAGGAGTTGGTGATGGACAGGGAGGCCTGGTGTGCTGAGGTTCATGGAGTCACAAAGAGTCGGACATGACTGAGCGACTGAGCTGAACTGAAAACCTTAAAAAATGTTAAGATCATATTATATCTATCTCATTTAATTATACTGTATCAAAATCCTCCCAAGAGGTCCTCAGCTATAAAACACTATAAAATACACTTCTAAAACTTTATTATAAAGTTTTATATTTAGAACTTTTCAAAATATTCTTTTATCTTTGGAAACCTATCAAGGGGTCGCAGAGTCAGACACAATTGTACACCTAATGTACACACAAGATATCGCTTTAAATTTTCTAAATTTCTCTACCCAACACCAAACTACACACAAAACTAGACTTTTAATGTTTTTTAGCTATTTATTTGCATGTGTTTGCACATGTGTGTGCATGCTCAGTTGTGTCCAGCTCTGTGACCCCACAGACTGTAGCCCACCAGGCTCCACTGTATATGGAATTTTCCAGGCAAGAATACTGGAGTGGGTTGCCATTCCCTACTCCAGGCGATCCTCCCAGGGATTGAGCCCACATCATTGTGTCTCCTGCATTAGCAGGTGGATTCTTTACTGCTGCGACACCTGGGAAGCCCATGCATATGTTTAAGCAAATAAAATTGTAACACCATAGAATAAATAGTCAAGATCAGTATCTGCACATCTTACTGCTCGATAAATACAGTAGACCCTTGACATTCTCAAGGGATATATACCCTGAGACCTCCAGGCATCTCCAAATTTTTACAGTTGAAAATGGCTCTCCACAAACTTCTGCCTTTCTCCCAAAGAATGGTTCCATCTAGTCGCATGTATAACTTCAACCTTAATATTTTTTCCACTTTCAGTTTCCCCCCTCATCTGGTGTCCATTTTTCACATGTTAAAAAACAAACAAACAAAAAAAACACTTCAAAAAACTCAGTGTGTGTGTGTGTGTGTGTGTATATATATATATATATAAAATGATGAATCAAGAACAAGACCACAGAGAAATGCAAATGTAAGAAACTACCTAGGCTCTGGCATTAACTATTTACTCCCATACCACTGCATGGCAGAGCCCTGTTTTCAAAGGTTTGCTCATGTTTCAGCAAACTATATGTCAGAGATGTTCAGGGTAGCCTCCCGAAAGTTAACACTGTGAATGTTCAGTCTATAAATTCTAAAGAGCTACTGTAGTTTTAGATTTCTCATTTTACGTAGCATACATCATAGTGTGTCCAAAGTTGTAACCCTGGTGAGCTGATTCGAAAAACACTGGAAAAGAACTGCTCTTCTTTGAAGAATTTTGGAAACTTAATGTCTCCTTCCAATAAAGGAAACTGCTTTCTGATATCTGCAACATCCTGCATTGAGAGAAATACAATGAGAATTTTAACAATAAACACAATATTGGAATAATGCTTATTTTATCTAAGGCTACCATGAGAGCCCATGATATCATGGAGGAATGCGGCAAAATTCTGCTCACTGTTTTAAAATACTAGGATGTGACCATAGCCAACACATCTTTCAAGTGAAGGAATGACAGACTGTGTAATAAGACATTCAATATCACTACTGTTAACCTTTGTATGGTTCATTAATAGGACAGTCCATCTTACTCTAAGCAAGAATCATACAATTGCCACCTACTTAAATGTAAGAGTCATTAACTTGAATGTTATCAACTATGTAAAGCCTGTGGGTTCTACTCAAAGAGAAGACTAAAAGAAGGTAAAGAAATAACATGTCATAAAGAGAAAAGACACAATCTGACTTGATCATTTTAGGGACCGCACCTTAACACTGTGTCCATATTAATTTGACTCTGAATACATATATATGAATTATCCAGGTTTTTTCTATCATTTTAGATTGTATTTTATTAGCTGAATGCCATCTGCAAAATAAGTAGAATAGATTCCTTAACTGTGGAAAGATTAGATAACTTTTTACATTCAGAATTCTTACCTTTCTAGGGTCTTCTCCAAGTGATCGGAGGTAGTACTTCTCATCCTTAAACATGCCAAAAAAACAACATCAGTATTCACTTAAAAATATTAGAAGGTAAAGACAAAAGGAAATAAATTTGAAAATCTAACCCAATTAAGCCATTTTCAAAAAAAGTCCCATTTTCTTCCCTTTCTGCTAATGCTCTCTGGTGGCCATATGAGGAAATGTCTCTGTACGTGCTTGTAATAATGACAGGATCCACACAGTATCAGGTAATTCTTTATAAAGGCAACACATGCATACCACATCTAAAGCCACAAAGCTTAGACTTTATACTCTGAATTATTTACAATCTTAATCAGCATCTTAAGACTTTAAAGAATTCCCATTTTTATAACACACATGATCTCAGAGTATCATTGAGGGCCAACAACAAACTTCGTTAATGTAATGCAAATGTAGAAAATAATATAAAATACTTTATACTTTTAAGACTAATTTTTTAAAAAATCTGAAACATTGTATTTTATAAAGCTAAGCTTTTCCCTAATCATAATTCTCAACCCAAATCAACAGTCAGCTCAGGTATGAATTAGAACTATGTCATCTTATAGTAATAAACTTAAATTGATGCTTTAAAAAACTGTCAATTATAACTTTATTAAGTAGCTCTAATAGGGAACTATTTGAATTATGAAGTATACATTGCCTGCATTTTCTGTAATAATTAGTAAACTGAGCCACATCAGGTCAAACACAGGGACAACCCAACACAAGAATTCCGCCTCTTTTATACTTACATTGACCATTATAGCACAAACTTCAAAATATATCTCATTTACCATAACAATATATTATACATCTATGTTCATAGATTTTACTTAAATCCAAGATTTACTGATTTTAAATTTTTAACTAGTACCATATCAGATAAGTTTCATAAATTTATTACTAGCTAAACAGGTTCCGGGCTTGCCTGGTGGCTCAGATTCACAAAGAATCTGCCTGCAATTTGGGAGATCCAGGTCTGATCCCTGGGTTGGGAAGATCCTCTGAAGAAGGGAATGGCAACCCACTCCAATATTCTTGCTTGGAGAATTCCATGGACAGAGGCTAAGTCCAGGGGGTCGCAAAGAGTGGGACACGACTAAGCGACTAACACTTTCAGTTTCAAACAGGTTTCAAAGTCTGTTCTTCAAAATTCTAAGAGTTTTCTACCCATCCTAATGTTTCAGGATTTAAAATATAAATTTATGTGGCAGAAACAGATGCACCACAGAACCCTCTTCAAGGAAAGATGCACTGATTTCGAGAAGTGTGATGAGCTTACAGCTGCCAGGCGTTAACTCCTTCAGGTCTGCCTCACCCTCTGACTGAAGGTCATGCTCTTTCTAGGGAAGCCTCAACCAGTGACTAAGCAAGATGGTAAAAGGCCTAGACCCTGCACCCTGGAGAGGACTCCCCCAGGAAGTAGTCTTTGCTCAGAGCTCCACACGGAGCTGGCAGAGAGGTGGTCAGCTCTGGATCACTGCCTGGTGGCACCCTCTACCCAAATCCTCTCCTTTTCTTTCACAGGTATTTTCCCCAGTAATAATGGGCTTCCCTGGTGGCTCAGAGGTTAAGGCATCTGCCTACAATGCGGGAGACCCGGGTTTGATCCCTGGGTCGGGAAGATTCCCCTGGAGAAGGAAATGGCAACCCACTCCAGTATTCTTGCCTGGAGAATCCCATGGAGGGAGGAGCCTGGTAGGCTACAGTCCACAGGGTCACAACTTCACTTTCACTTTTCACTTTCACTTTCCCCAATAAGTCTTTTGTAGTCCTAATTTCATCACAGCATGTGTTTCCCAGAGAACTGAACTGACAGTCCAATTCATCTTCCAATTCATCTTACACATCACCCTAACTTTTAGACTTTAATACCGTTACCTTGTCCCTATTTCCTTTATTTCACTTGACATTTCATGGCTATTTAAATCTGTGCCACTACTTACCCTTGGACAGGAAAGTACCAAAGTGCAGCTGAACATACATGTTAAAGCATGACTGTAAAGCTAAAAAGCCTTTTTCAGGTATAGCTAATGGAATCAGTTTTGTAGATATTCTAGTCAAACAATTAGAATAAGACATCTTGGATTTGTAGGGATAAAACATCACGTGATGAAAGAACAGAGAAAATGCAATACCTTTTACCACCAAACTGACCATCAGCCCAGCTGATGCAGATGCAGACAACAGCTTTCCTCAAAGCTTAAAAAGCAGTTTATTTTTCAAATACGCTTTTGAGATAATACAGTAAACTTTTTAAAAAATGTATTTATAAAAGCCTCAATGTCTCAAGATATTTAAATTCTATTTTGCATTATTTTAAGCTGGATTATTATGTAAATAAGTAGAATTCTTCTGCATATAATCCTGAACAAATGTTATAGCAAATACACACAACAGAAATCACATTAATAGCAATAAAAAAATACAGAAATAGTCTTATAGATATGAAAACAAAGTTCTCCTTTTTAGCATCTGAACTTGGCATATCAGACCAAAGTATTTTCAGAGGAGGTAGTATTAATAACTAACATTTAGTGAGTGATTCCTGTCAAGCACTGTGCTGAATACATATTTTACTGAGTTAACTGTCACAAAAAACTTATGAAATAGGTAGTATTACTGTTCCTATTTTAGAGATGAGAATACCGAAACAGAGAAAGGTAATGAGGACCAGGTTTGAGATCTAATAAATAGCACAGCTAGGATATACGGAAAGCTATAGTTCTCATATATCTAACATTCTTTTATAAGAAAATAATTTAGGGATTACATATTAATGTTTTCTTAAGAAAATGTGTTAAAAACAATTACCTCTGAAATAAAGAATTCCGTATGCTTTTCTTCAGCTGCCCTTTGTACCAACTTGTCAAAAGGTAAAGTTCTGAAATAAACACAAAAGAATCCTTGGACTTAGTAAAAATAAACTATTAATACTCTAGCCACCACACACACACACTACTTGCTAGAGTTTGATATAATCTTCTGTTTTACAACACAGTATCATAATTTTTATTATAACCTATTATGTGGAATTCTAAGTTTTCAAACTTCATTTAGAGTTGAGCTTATTTGACTTAGGTTGTCGGAAATTTTGCTTTCAAAAATTAAAGATTTTTAGATCTACAGTACAGAGGGACCCTTCTCATATGTCAACCTACTCCTACTCCAAGTTGTTGTTAGAAAAATGTTTCTGGTTTTATGGTATATATGGAAATATACAAACTTGCAAGCTTTTACTGCTACTAATTTTCAAGTTTCATGGCAAATCAAGTCTCGGGATGAATGGGGCAAACTACTAATGCTACTGCAGGAGAGATAACAAGCAAATGGTCCCATGAAGACAAGCCCCTCCCCTTCTCACCAACCTGCCTGCCTTCTGGCACGACCAAACAAAACTGCTCTCACCCTTCTACACCACATTCTATCATTTCAGGCTTCTGAGTATTAGCCCAAGGATTCCAGTGAAGTGATCAAATTTTATTCTGAAATATTTCTGCCCAAAGGCCCATCTGCTTCCATCCTGGTAAACAGGACTGAACACTGTAGAAGCAAAGTTTGTTTCCTTTACCTCACTCTTTTGAGTCTGAGGGTTACCTTTTCTGAGTGATATCCTATCTGTTCAATCTTCTAGAATCAAAAGTACTGCCCACTACCTGAAGATAATACCTTATCAGAGACATCAAACACAGACAATGACATCATCAAAGGCATCTGGGTCCCTACACTCTAGCCTCCACACCTCTGATTAGGAGTTGTAATCTTTTGCTCTTACTAATAAATATCTTTCCACTTGAACTCTATAACAGGGAAGTAAGATTTCCTTGTAAGATGATGACCATGCAATGCTTTCCTTGAAATATAGTGGGTTAAGATAAATGTGGAATGTCAGCTGTTAGATAGATAACACTGTTTACTGAAAAGAAAAAGACCCTCTGAGAATTCCCTGGAGATCTAGTGGTTAAAACTGTGCTCCCAATGCAGGGGGCATAGGTGTTATCCTTGGTCAGGGAACTAAGATTACACATGCCAGGCATCTCAGCAAAGTGAAAGTAAAAGTCACTCAGTCGTGTCTTGCCTCTTTGTGACCCCATGGGCTATACAGCCCATGGAATTCTCCAGGCCAGAATACTGGAGTGGGTAGCGTTTCCCTTCTCCAGGGGATCTTCCCAACCCAGGGAATGAACCCATGTCTCCTGCATTGCAGGCAGATTCTTTACCAGCTGAGCCACAAGGGAAGCAAATCTCGGCCAAAAAACAATTATTTACTATGTCTGGACTAGAAGGATGGTGAGTCAACTCTTAATTGTTGGGAAGCAGAGGGCGTGGCTTCCCTGGGTGCAGTATAACTCAGTAATTGAGCACGTCCCTTGGAGGAGCTGAGAAACTAAGGTCATAGTCATCTTACGCCACAGGTGTCTGTGGACAATGCAGCTTAACTAAGCTAGGGGATCCCTGTATCCACCTCTAATCTTGTTCCCTTACAAGGAAGCTGTCACTGAGTGAGCCAAAAATGGCTTCTGGATTGGCCTAAGGACTCTACTGATACTATCCTGCTAGGATGCTATTTCCTGCCTTGTACCTCTTTGCAAAGCTAAGCCAATCTGATGCCAGATTCTGGGCTAGCAGGTGTCAGTTTGAATTTGAGGACACTACTGATAATTATGTACAGTGGACACTGCAGGAGAGAAGAAAGAAGGTTGTCATCTACTCAGACCAATTTATTACTATAGTTTCTGGCTAATAGTATCAACAAATTTGTTTGTTCAGTGTTTTCTATCTCTGATCTCACTATATACCCTTCATTTCTACCAAAGCATCTTTTGAAGAGTTTGGAAATAATACAGAAGCCTCTGCAGGCCAGAGCTACCTCTGTAACTGGTGCAGTTGCTAAGGTCTTAGAGTGAACCTAAGACCTTTACAAGAACAGGCCAGGTAGAGTAGTTCAGTCCAAAGCAGAACTTGGGTGGCCCCAGCAACCTTCTCCTGTAGTAGTACCATCCAAGCCTCTACAGAAGCTAAGCTGAGAGGGGGAAACAGGCATATCAGTGGGGAAGGTCCTTGGCCTTGAGGCCTCATCTATCCTACACACGTTTCAGTAAGAAGAGCACCTGCTATACGACACTCCACTGTCCGGACTGATTTACAGACCAGCAAGTGAGGGAGTATCCAAGAGGGATTAGGGCTGTTAGGACTCTGTGGAGTCAGGCAAATTTGGGAGTAAGTCTTGGTTCCATCATTTCAAGCTATATTTACAATCTCGTGTAAATTATTTAACATTTTTAAGCTTCCATTTTCTCATCTGTATAATTATCAGTTAAAAAATCTACCTTATAGACATTTAAATGATTAATATAATCTAGGATGCACAGTACCTGATATATAAGAAATGTTCAATAAAAGACAGATGGTGGGGGTAACAATAATGGTAAATAACGTAGCAAGCAAGCAGTTAACAACATTCAGAAAAAGAAAAAAAAAAACCCTTACTATTCTGTTCCCCATTTTGGAAAGGTTTCATTCCAAGATCAGGAATGATGAAAGTGTAACAAACAAAAAGAGCAGGATGACAGGAGTCAGACAATGTGGATGTGATAGGCAGAAGCAGCAAAGCAAAGCTCATGTAAAACTCAGACTTGGAAAAAAAAAACCTATGGACAGAACACCAACAGTATCCTTTCAAGGCTCTTCATTTTTACATATATGGATTCTTGAAGAACCGTAAGAGCTACCATGAGAACAGAGGTAAAGGCTAAGACTTGGGAACATATTTATCTTCAAGTGTTTAAAAAGCAGAAATGAAACCTTAATGTAAAGTGTTAATAACGAGATACGTGCGTAGGTTTTTTACTTTTCAGCCTCTCTCTTTGGCCTAGATGCCTCCCTTCTTTCCTGTTCCCCAATAACTGTGAAAATGACTGCATCTGTTTTCCCTCTCTCTCTGAGCAAATAATCTTGCAACTCTTTAGCAGCTCTAGTGAAAGGCTTAGAGGAGCTGGAATAGGAACTATTACATAATATACATGCTTCAAAAACATGTTTTGAAAAGTTTATAGGACATGACATAACATCAAGGCAATTCAAGACGAAGTTTCAATACCCATTTGTTACAGCACTGGGCTTCCCTGGAAAATAAACATCATTAACTGCAGGCTGAGAAACACTCTTCATTCCAGCACTTTCTTCCACTTTCTTGTTTAATAAAAAATGAAAAGTTCTTACACTTGGAAAAATTTATGGCAATTAAATTCAATTCATGGCCTATTAAAAACCAAAACCGTAACAGCAAATATTCAAAGAATCAAATACCAAGAAATGGTTTGGCAAGCTACTATATGAACTTGAAAAACTCTAATGAGAAAAGTATGACCCTGGACACTGGAAGCTCTGTTTAGCTCATCTCTAAACTCTGGAAGGAACAGTGAGAGCCACCTTTCTTTAAAAAATCAGTCTTTTGTGAACACAGTGTTTCAATAGACTGGATTTGCTGGGAACTACACATGCTCAGAATTCGAAAATTGTTTTTAAATTTAACATTTTTAGTGAAACTCAAAGGAATAAACTCATGGGAATAAACAGCATAGTAAAACTATAAGATTATAGCATTTAAAGCTTTCAAGTTCAGACATACCACAGCATTCAACTATCTTTTACATTTAAGACATCCCAAAACATAAAACGGCAACCATGAGGGAAATTTAACATATTTAAGATAATTTTGTCAAAAAAGAACATTAAGTCATATTTATCCAAGTTGACAAAAGAGTATACCAAACATAGCAACCACCTGTCTTCTATTTCTGGAGAGGGAAGGAGAAACAAAGACAACAGGAGCTTATACTTAACTAAAAACAATCTGGAAGTAGAAAATCTTCCAAAAATAGGGCATTTAAAATTAAAACAGGTTATGAAGGAAAACTTTAGAATTTACAACTCTAGATAACAATTACTGATGTGGGAGGACCAACTAATCAATGAAGCACTAAATGAATCCTGCACATCCAGCTTTAGATGTACTCTAACTAGAGTTACAGAAATTCTCTGCTCTTTCCATAACTCCAGAGGGTATTGGATATACACTCTATTTTTAAAATAGTCTTTGGAAATGTCTTTGTATAATTATGTAAGCTGAGAATTCTTGTCTTTTAAAAGCCATTCTTTAAAAATTAGTAAGCTATTCCATAATTATATCAAACAAGCCAAGAGAGAAAATGCCATATGGTCTTTGTATAATAATGCAAAAATATTTTACAGGTTTAAAAAAAGTTACATGTATCCCCAGAGTAAACCTCAGAAGAAAATACCTATATACAAAGTTTTTACTAATGAAGTCCATCTGGGCAACTGCAGCAACATGAATTTTCACCTCTTTCCTCCCTCCGATTTGGCTGAGGTAATCCACTGTCCATTTGCTTGTACACGCTCCCAAATCAATTCCTTCCAACACTAGAGGTTTTCTCTGTGTGGGAAAAATCAACAAAAATTAGGGAAAACCAACAATATATCAGGACTTATACTGGGTAATAAAGGGATAAAAACAAATAAGAAATGACTATTGATCCCAAGATGCTCAAAATCAGATCTGCTGACAATTCATGCTGTAACTAAAACAGGAAGAGGAAACTACGTAATATACTTAGAACAAAATTTTAACATTAGGAAAACCAAACCAAACCAAACAGCAATACTATCATAAGCTTAGAAACAAGAGAAGTTCGAATATTATTTAAAGCATTTTTATGAGTGTTATATGTAACAAAAAATACATTTGATTAAAATTTGTACTTTATAGTCAAATATTGTTTGCAACTTTTTATTTTGATAACCATTCTAAACTTATGGAAAAGTTGCAAGAACATTACAAAGAACTCCCATATACCATTTACTCTGAGTCACGAGTTGCTAATTTAACACTTTGCCCCACTTACTTTACCATCTGCTCTCACTCTTGCAATGTGTGTATAGAGACATATTAAAGATAATTTAATTTTTTCTAAACTATTTCAGGGTAGTTTTCCAAACTGTCTCTATCATGCTCCTTTATCTCTAAAACTTGAGCATATTTTCTGAGAACATTCTTTTATATAACCACAGAATAATTACCAAAATTATATTTAAGTTATAATACTTTTATCTAATTTAGCTTGTATCCAAATTTTGCTAATTGTCTCTGTATTTTTTCCCTACTTCTGAGATACCACACTGCATTTAGTTCCTACACCTCTTTTAATCTGGAACAGTCCCTCAAACTCATTCTTCTATGACCTAGACATTTTTTGAGGAGTACAGGCTAGTTATCTTATAGAATGCCCTTCAGTGGGAATTTACATGATGTTTCAGCTTATGTGTTTCTGCAAAGAACGTGCCACTCAGTATTGCTGAGTGCAAAAATTGTGATTTAAAAAAAAATCACCTTCTACATGTACTAGTTGGTATTGTAATGTAAGAATTAGCTCTAACTTCTCCATTCATTCTTTTTTTTTTCATTGAATTACAATCTACTTATACAATTTTGAAGCCAGATTTGGCCAGTAAGAATCCCTTCAAGCTGGCTCCTATGACTTTCTGCCTGAGCACGTCTTACTTTATGGCAAAATAACATAATCCAGTATTCGTTTACTTCTCCGTCCCAGCCCTATAGTTATTTCTTCAAGTAGCTCTGCTATCTTCTAGTGGGGAATGCTGTTTAGAAACAATGATCTGGGTGCTAAATGTGTTCATGACTATTGATGTGTCGTTATATATAGACCTTCTCAGGGGACAGAGCTAGGAAACACATGAAGGTGTGTATATACTCACTCACTCCCCCCCACACCAAAATACACACACACAACATATGCATATGGTTGTATTCCTCTCTCTCAATATGTACTATACATACACACGCACGCACACACAGTCTTAATGGATGTAAGATGAATCATGATACTTCCAATATGGTTACCTAATTCCAAACTTATACCACAACATTTATTTTAATATTTCTTGTTCATATATTTGTAAACTACCCCCCCCCTTCATGAGAAACCTGGTTCCAATCATCCTCAATATTTAATCAGTTGTACAATCTCAGAATTCACAATAAGTACTTCTACAATTGCTAAGTTATACCACTGTAAAAAATATACAAACTAGAATTCAGCATTGTTTATAGTTCTTTTTGTTTTTAGACTGTCACAGAATCAAAGTATGGGCTTCCCTGGTAGCTCCGATGGTAAAGTGTCTACCTGCAATGCAGGAAGCCCATGTTTGATCCCTGGGTCAGGAAGATCCCCTGGAGAAGGAAATGGCTATCCACTCCAGTATTCTTGCCTGGGAAATTCCACAGAAGAGCCTGGCAGGCTCCAGTTCCTGGGATTGCAGAGTCGGACATGACTGAGCAACTAACACATTCCAAATTCATAATCAAAGTACTGTGTTCAAAAGTGACTTAGGTTGCTTCTCTCTCCCTTAATTAGATTCACTTCTTATTTTTATATTCTATACTAGAGTTTGGGTTTCCTTTTTAATTATTCCTTATCCATGTTAACTTTATTATTACTATTATTTCAGAATATAAAACATTAATGTGATCTCCAAAGTCAGAATTATATAAAAAATAGGTCACCGCATCTATACTCACCCATGTTGTAATCACTCAACCCCTAGAGATAACCAGTCTCATTAATGTCTGCCTTATCATCCCATGTTTCTTTCTTGCAAAGGGATCAAAAAACCTATAAACTTCCTCATTTTTTTATACAAAACTATCTTATTTATACATTGTCTTTTGTAATTTTTTCTTTTTAATTTAAAATTATATCCTGAAAATCACTGCTATCAGTTCAGATTTTCTCTCATTGTTCTTTTACAACTTAGCACACTATAGTGCGAATGGAGAATTTAATCAGTCTCCTATAGTAGGTTTCTTAGGTTATTTGTAATCAGTCTCAAACATAATAAATACTAGATATTTTCATACTGCTGAAGCATGTCCCCAGAGTAAATTCCTGAAGAGGAACTACTATATCACAACGTAAACAGATCAACATCTTTGTGAGGTATGCCAAATTCCCCTCCGTTAGGCTTGTACTACTTGGCATAAAGTGTGAGTGCCAGTTTCCTCACAGACTCACAAACAGTGTATTATTAAAGTCTTTGATTTTATGCCAATATGATACATAAATGGTGTCTATTTAAGTGTAACTTTAAATTCTCTTATGAATAAAGCTGAATGTCTTTTCAAGTGTTTCGAGGCCATTTTTATCTTTTTGTCAACTGTTCAATTTTTAATCAGATTTTTGCCTGCTTCCTCATTAATTTTTAAAAGTTCTTCCCATACATGTGCTTTTACTAACCTTTAATGAAATACATATTGCAATATCTTCTTCCCAGCTGGAATCTGATGTACTCAAATTTTAATCTTTATTACACTTGAGTCATAATAAGGAAACCCTGCCATAGACCTAGATTACAAAGAAATTTATCCATGTTTTCCTCTAGTACTTATGTAATTTCTTTTTTTATTTTAGATCTCTGATCCATTTGGAGATTACTTTTGTGTATGGTGTCAGATATAAATCTAATTTTATCATCTTATAAATGACCATGGAAAATTCTGAAAGAGATAGGAATACCAGACCACCTGACCTGCCTCTTGAGAAATCTATATGCAAGTCAGGAAGAGACAGTTAGAACTGGACATGGAACAACAGACTGGTTCCAAATAGGAAAAGGAGTACATAAAGGCTGTATATTGTCACCCTGCTTATTTAACTTATATGCAGAGTACATCATGAGAAACTCTGGGCTGGAGGAAGCACAAGCTGGAGTCAAGATTGCTGGGAGAAATATCAATAAGCTTAGATATGCAGATGACACCACCCTTATGGCAGAAAGTGAAGAGGAGCTAAAAAGCCTCTTGATGAAAGTGAAAGAGGAGAGTGAAAAAGTTGGCTTAAAGCTCAACATTCAGAAAACTAAGATCATGGCATCCGGTCCCATCACTTCATGGCAAATAGATGGGGAAACAGTGGAAACAGTGTCAGACTTTTTTCTGGGTTCCAAAATCACTGCAGATGGTGACTGCAGCCATGAAATTAAAAGACGCTTACTCCTTGGAAGGAAACTTATGACCAACCTAGAGAGCATATTAAAAAGCAGAGACATTACTTTGCCAACAAAGGTCCATCTGGTCAAGGCTATGGTTTTTCCAGTGGTCATGTATGGATGTGAGAGTTGGGACTGTGAAGAAAGGTGAGCGCCAAAGAAAAGATGGTTTTGAACTGTGGTATTGGAGAGTCCCTTGGACTGCAAGGAGATCTAACCAGTCCATCGTAAAGGAGATCAGTCCTGGGTGTTCACTGGACGGAATGATGCTGAAGCTGAAACTCCAATACTTTGGCCACCTGATGCGAAGAACTGACTCACTGGAAAAGACCCTGATGCTGGGAGGGATTGGAGGCAGGAGGAGAAGGGGTCGACAGAGGATGAGATGGTTATATGGCATCACTGACTCAGTGGACATGAGTTTGAGTAAACTCCGGGAGTTGGTGATGGACAGGGAGGCCTGACGTGCTGCAATTCACGGGGTCGCAAAGAGTCGCACATGACTGAGCGACTGAACTGAACTGAACTGAAATGACTGTGACTATCCAGTTGTCCAAGCACCATTTATTTAAAAGTTCATCTTTGCCCTAGTGATTTAATGTCATGTTCATCACACCCTAAATTTCTATATGAATGGAAATTTAGACTCTGGAGATACATATACAAAGTCACTCAAGACTTTCTTCTCTATTCCTCTGATCTGTCTATCCATGCAACTGTACCACACTGTTGGTTATTAAAACATTTAAAAAAATCCGATAGGATCCCTTTACAGCTTTTCTTTAGAGTTTCTTAAGTAGAAAAGTCTTGTTTTGCAAATTAGTTACTGATTTCTGGTTTTATTACACCGTGATCACTGTTATTTGCAATTTTCCACTTTACAGTGTTTAGTGATGCTTTCTTTGTAACATATTATGTCTTGTCTAGGAAGGCTAAATTACGAAACACATTTTGCTAGCCATCTTACAAAGCATTTCCACATTCATACATCATTTGATGGTCACAATTCTGTCCTGAAGGCATCTTACACTGATGTGTCCTCTGGTGGGGAAGGACAATAACCCATCCAGCCTAACCTCCCAAATAAATTAAGACTTGAGGGGGTTGGGGATAAAAAAAAAAGACTTGAATCCTCCCTGTAGGTTTCTAACTCCTAAAAGAAAACTTCATCACTGACTTTTGTAACACTCAGAACTGCAGCTCTATAACCATCCTCAGAGATGTAAATATCAAGTAAAATTACTGGGGTAGGGGATTCTTTATCATGAGCAGGCTAATTGTAATCTTATGGGTTTTTTTTTTTTAATAGCTGCCCTAACTTATATGCAGAGTACATCATGAGAAAAGCTGGGCTGGAGGAAGCACAAACTGGAATCAAGATTGCTGGGAAAATATCAATAACCTCAGATATGCAGATGACACCCTTATAGCAGAAAGTGAAGAAGAACTAAAGATCCTCTTGATGAAAGTGAAAGAGGAGAGTGGAAAAGTTGGCTTAAAGCTCAACATTCAGAAAACTAAGATCATAGCATCCAGTCCCATCACTTCATGGCAAATAGATGGGGAAATAGTGGAAACAGTGGCTAACTTTTATTTTTCTGGGCTCCAAAATCACTGCAGATGGTGACTGCAGCCATGAAATTAAAAGACGCTTACTCCTTGGAAGAAAAGTTATGACCAACCTAGATAGCATATTAAAAAGCACAGACATTACTTTGCCAACAAAGGTCCGTCTAGTCAAGGCTATGGTTTTTCCAGTGGTCATGTATGGATGCGAGAGTTGGACTATAAAGAAAGCTGAGAGCCGAAGAAATGATGCTTTTGAACTGTGGTGTTGGAGAAGACTCTTGAGAGTCCCTTGGACTGCAAGGAGATCCAACCAGTCCACTGTAAAGGAGATCAGTCCTGGGTGTTCATTGGAAGGGCTGATGTTGAAACTGAAACTCCAATACTTTGGCCACCTGAGGGAAGAACTGACTCATTTGAAAAGACCCTGATGCTGGTAAAGATTAAGGGCAGGAGGAGGGGACGACAGAGGATGAGATGGTTATATGGCATCACCGACTCGATGGACATGGGTTTGGGTGGTCTCCAGGAGTTGGTGATGGACAGGGAGGCCTGGAGTGCTGCGGTTCATGGGGTCGCAAAGAGTCGGACACGACTGAGCGACTGAACTGAACTGAACGGCTCTTTATTCTGTTTTTCTGAGCGTAGATTCCCTTGAAAAAGCACTGCAAGTAAAAACACTTTCTGCCCCATTAACGTTTTTCTGAGTTTTATTTATTTTAAAGAACTAAGGTTCGAATTACAGATACAAAAGAATCGAACGTCTGATCTTCAACCCACGTTAGTCAGAATCCAGTAGAAGTTTCTCGGGGGGGCGGGGGTCCCATTGCTTCCCCTTTTGGATCAGTGCAGTGAAAAACTGCTCCTTCAAATCTAGTAATTCGTGTAGACTAACAGGCGCCATTCAAGCTATTAGCGGGTGGGGGTGGGAGGTGGGGCGCGAAACTGCCCCTCGACTTTAAGAAATTTGACGAAAGACTTGAAGACCTGGGGGAGGTGGGGGAGGCGGGGGAGGGGGGTGGGGTGAAGTATTTTCCTAGGGTGCCATGGTAATGGTATTAGACTCCTTGACTAGACTCCCGCAAGGCAGCTAGCGGGGCTTATTAGGCAAAGTATTTCTCGTAGTCAGCGCTCCGCCATCCAACTGCTTCCCAGAAACGTGGAACGGTGCTCGCCGAAAATTTTGATAAGACCGTCAACATCCCCTACGTGCTCCCTTGGCCGTAGGGCCAACCAGCCACTTTCAACTGACAACCTCCTCCCCACAACCTGGACCGCAAGAAACCAGTTCGGAGCCGCTCGAGTGGTAGGAACGGGTATCCACCGACATCCCGTGGTTCCGCCCCGCGAGAGGGCCTCACCTGCGGATACAAGTGCTCTATGAACTGCTCCTGCGAAACGCCCTCGAATCGGGGTACTGGGAAGCGGTGCCCGGCCATGGTTGTTCACGCCAATCCTCTTTCTTGTTCTGGGACCCTCTGCACTAACACGTTCCTCAGCGCGCGATCCGCCCGGAAACAGGACCCGGAAAGAAAAGGTCCCGGAGGCCGGCTGAGTCGCGAGAACGGCTTCTTCCGAGTGCGGGGCTCGGGGCCGACAGGCGTATGATGGAGAGCAGAGAAGGGGCGAATTCACCAGAGGTGGCAGTAACAGGCCAGCTCGACTCTCCAGTCTTTCTCCGAACCTCGCTGAGGTGGTTTCACACCGACTTACTTTCCATGATGCACCGGCAAGCACAGGGGTGAAAGGTCACAAAAATGGCGCTGGCCGTCTGTCTTTTACCCCGCTTGCTACTTTCTCGGCCTCTACCGGCCTGGGCCGCCCGCCTCCGGACTCCCGGTTCGGCTGAGGTGAAGCCCCCATTGTCTGGACTTTGCTGCTTCTGCCGCCGCCGCCTCTGCTCGGGAGCAGCCCCATTTCCTCGAGTCTCTTGGGCCTCCGCGGCCTTGGCCCTGTCTGCTCGGGGTCCTCAGCGTCCCCTGCTCAGCCCCCTGGAAGTCGCCGCAACCCTCCCCACTTTCCCTTCCTACCCCCGGCGAACCTACAGCACCGAGGAGCAGCCCCAGCAGCGTCAGAAAACCAAAATGATCATTCTGGGGTTCTCCAACCCCATCAACTGGGTTCGGACTCGAATTTACTCCTTCCTTATCTGGGCCTATTTCGACCAAGAGTTCAGCATCACAGAGTTCTCAGAAGGAGCGAAACAGGTTGGTTTATTTCTCTAGGAGTAACCTATCCACCTCTCATGAATTCAGCAGTTAAGATACGCGAAAGTGTTTAGCGGTGAGGTTTCCACTGGGTCTCAAATGATCAAATGTGGGTAGTGACCCAAATACAGAGCCCTCAGGTCACTTGCCGTAAACTAAGCTTCTACTTGTTTGCACGGTCTCCGAGGAATAGGGTATTGATTGAGACACCAATTTGAAGCCCCTTAATTACTTTTTCTGCTCTCTGCAGGTTTTGAATCAGATAGAAATGGATTCAAAGCCTATTTCTGACACTTAAAAGCTCCATGGCTTTACTTCTTCTGAAATGTGATTTTTCTGCAGAATGAAAAAGACAATACTGATTATATGCTGGCATTGATATATTCTAATTTTTTTCAGTTTATTTCTATAAACAGCCATTTATACTTACTTACGTTATCTGTCAATTATAAACTAAATGTTTTCAACTTTATATAATCAGTGTCATTATTAACTCGTGTTTTTTGCTTCCCTGAGTCAATTCTTGACTAATCCGTGTTTTTACAAAAAAAATTTAAAAGCAAAGAGCAAGCATAGTTAATAGTATTATAAGGAATAAACCTCAGTTCCTGTCAGTTTTCAAAATTTTTGTTTGTGTAGAGGTAGATGAGCTTGATACTACTGTCCTTCAGGATTCCTGCAGATGACTTGTGAGCTTGTCTATCTCCTGCTCATTTATGCGTCAATAAGGAATGGAAGTCATCCCCCCATGGACAGGACAGGAATCAAACCTAAGTCCCTACTTCCTTTGACCACAAAGGAGCATGGAACACTTTTTAGTCACTCTTTATCCTAAAGGTCCTCCAGCTGTGAGCTATTTTAGCCCCCATCCTTGCTATTAAGTAGTATTTGCACCCATTCATCAGACAGTCTGTATGCAGTTTTGCCTCATCTAAATCAATTTTTGTGCATTTAGCCATTTTGATTTCCGAAGAGAATGTTAGGTCATCCATGGCAAATATTTAGTGATTCCATTAAACCAGTGGTTGCTTAACATAACCTTTCAGATCAAGCAAACCAGTTTTTCAGCACCTACAGTTTAAAAGGACATGGCTGAAAAGTCTTCCTACCTAGATCTCATAAGGCAACTCTTTCTTCTTTTGCATAGATGTAATTCTAGGGCTTGGGAATAATCTGGTGCATAAACATTGGCTAGATTATCTACTCTCATGAGCTCAACTTGCCCTTTAACTTCCCAACTATAGAATATTATCTTGCGGTGTGAATATCAAGCTGTCAGTTAGATCATGTTCATTAACATTTTTCTTTTTCAGTCATGGAACATGAAAGACACCTTCATGCTCGCTATTCTAGTCTAATTCTCTTTTACAGATGATAAAATCAAGTCTAAAAAAGTCAAATGATTGACTCAAGGATGCATAGCTAGCAACTGCTGAGGTACATTGTTCTGTGACCCACTCTACAAGCATTCTTGGTTCTCCAGAGTTACTAGAAATTGACATGGTTAAGTATAATCTAGGCAAGCTTTTAAAAAAATTTTTATAATTTAAAATTTTTTTCTCAAAGTAGAATTGTAATATTGTTACAGATATACAGTGTTACAGATGTACAATGTAGTGATTCATAATTTTTAAAGATTATACTCCATTTATAGTTACAAAATATTGGCTGTATTCCCTGTGTTATACAATACAGCCTGTAGCTTATTTTAAACCAATCTAGGCAAGCTTTTATTCATCATGTGAGCCAGAGGAATAGGTGGTCCAATGATATACAGTCCTTAAACAGCTTTATTTGTGCCACAAACTTTACTTCCATTGATAAGTACATATGATATTATCCCTGTTACTGCCATCAAACCACATTAACCATTTACTGTCTGTTTTCCAGTATCTTTACATATTTTGGCCTTTTCTATGAAAGAAAAAGCTATTTTCCAGAAGCCTGTTGTGTATGTGCGTGCTACATCACTTCAGTCGTGTGCAACTCTTTGTGACCCTATGAACTATAACTCACCAGGCTCCTCCGTCCATGGGGATCTCCAGACAGGATTACTGGAGTGGGTTGCCATGCCCCGCTCCAGTAATCTTCCCGACCCAAAGATCAAACACGTACCTCTTGTGGCTCCTGCATTACAGGCAGATTCTTTACCACTAAGCCACCAAGGAAGCCCCTTGCTTAGGTTAGGAAGTCTTATATCATCAAAGCCTTATCAGGGCAGCCTCTGAATGGGATGTTATTACCTTACAGGATAATTTGCTCAGGTTTGATCATTGGCCACAGAAACTAGAGTATCATAGTTAGATTTCAACATGATTGTTGATGTCTGTTACTTCTTACCAAATTTCACCCATCTTCCACACACAAAGGCTTACTAAAATACATAGGTTGTTTCTGAACCCTGAGAGCATCTAGAATGTTTGCAAGGGATCCTTGAGTCCATTTGGAAGTGTGCTTTTTCTCAAAATTCAACTCCATTATTGTTCAGTTCAGTTCAGTTGCTCAGTTGTGTCCGACTCTTTGTGACCCCATGTACTGCAGCACCAGGCCTCCCTGTCCGATTGCCAACTCCCGGAGTTTATTCAAACTCATGTTCATTGAGTCGGTGATGCCATCCAAACATCTTATCCTCTGTCATCCCCTTCTCCTCCTGCCTTCAGTCTTTACCAGCATCAAGGTCTTTTCCATTGAGTTGGTTCTTCATATCAGGTGGCCAAAGTATTGGAGTTTCAACTTCAGCATCAGTCCTTCCAATGAATATTCAGGACTGATTTCCTTTAGGGTGGACTGGTTAGATCTCCTTGCAGTCCAAGGGACTCTCAAGAGTCTTCTCCAACACCACAGTTCAGAAGCATTAATTCTTTGGCAGTCAGCTTTCTTTATAGTCCAACTCTCACATCCATACATGACCACTAGAAAAACCATAGCTTTGACTAGATGGACCTTTGTTGGCAAAGTAATGTCTCTGCTTTTTAATATGCTGTCTAGGTTGGTCATAACTTTTCTTTTGAGAAGCAAGCATCTTTTAATTTCATGGCTGCAATCACCATCTGCAGTGATTTTGGAGCCCCCCAAAATAAAGTCTGTCACTGTTTCCCCATCTGTTTGCCATGAAGTGATGGGACCAGATGCCATGATCTTAGCTTTCTGAATGTTGAATTTTAAGCCAACTTTTCCACTCTCCTCTTTCACTTTCATCAGGAGGCTCTTTAGTTCTTCCCTTTCTGCCATAACGGTGGTGTCATCTGCATATCTGATGTTATTGGTATTTCTCCTGGCAATCTTGATTCCAGCTTGTGCTTCATCCAGCCCAGCATTTCGCATGGTATACTCTGCATGTGAGTTAAATAAGCAGGATGACAATTTACAGCCTTGACGTATTCCTTTTCCTATTTGGAACCAGTCTGTTGTTCCATGTCCAATTCTAACTGTTGCTTCCTGACCATTGTTGTTAGGGCTGCCATAACAAAATATCTCAGTCTGGGTTGCTTAAACCATAAAACTTTATTTTGTTGCATTTCTGGAAGCTGAAAGTCCTAGAACAAGGTGTTGGTAAGTTTGGTTTCTTCTGTGGCCTCTGTCCTTTGCTTGTAGATGACCGTGTTCTTTCTGTGTCCTCCCGTTTTTTACCCCTGTGTTCATATGTCCTGGTATCTCTGTGTGTGTCCACATTTCCTCTTGTAAGCACACCAGTCAAATTGGACTAGGGCCCACCCTCATTTGACGTCATCACCTCTTTAAAAATCCTGTCTCCAAATATAGCTACCTTCTGAGGTACTGGGAGTTAGGGCTTCAATGTATGAATTTGGAAAACCCAATTCAGCCCAGAACAGTTATGAGAGTTGTCTGTCTGACACACCTTTGCATCCTCTTTCTCTTGCTAGTTCTTCAAATTTCTTCTTAGATGGTTCTTCCTTTAGGAAGCCCCCTTATTGTCCGCCCAGATAGTGTAAGTTCTCACCTGTATTCTCCCAAAATCATCCTGTTCTTATTACTGTCATAATTCTTGGATTTGTCCATTTTCTCGGCTCTCTCTTCAAGTAGACAGGAAGCTCCTTGAAAACAGGTAGAGTCTAATGCACAGCTCCATTCCTCATTGCTAGTAGTGTGGGGGATTGCAGTTGACTGTCTCCCACTTTAAAATGGGATCTTGTACTTTAAAGTTGAGGTCTACTGCATTAGACTGTGCAAACTCATTGTCTTTTCTCCCACTTTACCAATGCCATATCTGTCTTAGACCTGTCTGAAGAGTTAGCTCAGACTGTAGAGAATCTGCCCACAGTGCGGGAGATCCTCATTCAATCCCTGAGTCAGGAAGATCCCCTGAAGAAAGGAATGGCAGTCCACTCCAGTATTCTTGCCTGGAGAATTCTATGGAAAGAGGAGCCTGGCAGCGTACAGTCCATGAAATATCAAAGGGTTGGACAGGACTGAGCAGCTAACACTTTCACTTTCACTGTCTATCTTAGTGAGATTCAACTGCAGCCCAGATCTCCAGACTCCCAGTACCATTTAGGTTGTACCGCTATGTATTCAAGATTTAGAGGAGGGTCATATGACAGTCAGGATGGCTGATTACTTACTTCATCGTTATTTTAAAAGGGACTATATAGAAGATTTTTTTTTATTGAGAATCTAGTATGTACACCGCACACGATCTCTTCTCAGGTCCTTGGAGTGGATACATCATTTGCAATCTACCCACTTACTACTGTGCATGTGGAAAGGCTGTTAAAAAAGTCAGCCAACTTTGAAGGAGTCATGCCTAACCATCGATATCTTAATGTTGACAATGTTTATTGCCTTTATCATAAAATAGTCTTTGTTATACTTAGCCACTGAAGTATGAGCATTGTACATTGTATAGTATTTCGCATGGTATCTTAAAATAATAATCACCACCCTTCCCCCACTTTTCTTTTCTTTTTTTTTTTAAGGCTTTTGCTCATGTGTCCAAATTGCTGTCACAGTGTAAGTTTGATCTATTGGAAGAACTTGTGGCCAAAGAGGTAACGTATACTTTAATTTTCCTTTAGAAATAAATATTAACATGTATTATTGTCTTTCATTAGAATGATATGCATTGTCCTTATTTATGCTTAAAATAACATGTATGCCGTCACCCAAAGTAGAGTCCCTCTATTTTGCCTTTGGAGTACTAGGGGTCTTAAAAAGCATAGAATGACTTGCTACTTAAGGCATAAGTGAGTATGATGTCTTTCAATTCTTACATAGAATGTTCCATTAGGAATTATCTAACTGAAGAATCAGATGCCTCTCAGCCTTGCTTTTGAAAGTGAATACGTATGGCTGTAAAATTAAAAATAGTTTTACAAAATACACTCCATGAAGAATTCACTCTACTCTTTGAAAGGCTTTTGACAGTTCAACAAGTGAACTCTGGTTTGCTTTTTTCCGTACTTAGACTCTACATGTATTGAAAGAAAAGGTTACTTCACTACCTGACAACCATAAAAATGCCCTTGCTGCTGACATAGATGAAATTGTGTACACATCAACAGGAGACATCTCCATTTACTATGATGAGAAAGGTAATCCTGGAGCATAGGCAACTTTAAATGACCCACAGTTGTCCAGATAAGCTCAATTAGTGACAGATCCTGGAATAGTAGCATTTTGTTGGTACAAGTGGATATTTATAGAATTGCAGAGAAAATAATTTATTCATTCTTTAAAGACCTGGCTCTGGAAGACTTGGGGTATGGTAATAGTTTTGAATGCCTTTCTCTCTAGAAGTTTGGGATGGTCATGTACACACTGCTGTTTTTAAAGTGGGATAACCAACAAGGCCCTCCTGTGTGGCGCCTGGAACTCCCCTCGGTGGTATGCGGCAGCCTGGTTGGGACGGGGTGTGGGGAGAATGGATACATGTGTAGTGTGGGTGAGTCCCTTTGCTGTTCCCCGGAAACTGTCACAGCACTGTCTGTTAATCAGCTATACCCCATTACAAAATAAAAAGATTAATCAAAGAAAAGAACTTTTCCCTAATGCCGTCTAATTCATAGAAGAGAACATTGTCACTTAAGTTAATGAAAATTGCCCAAGACAAGCTGCTCCTATGTCAAAATGAAAATATTTGTGTTTCAGATTTCCTAACTTAAACAATGCAGTATTTTAAGTCTCCAGCTGTATATTAAGTAGGAGTAAAAAGTAAAAGAAAAATTAAATACGGTTAGCTAAACACTGTTTTAAGAGTAACATTAACTCAGAACTCCCGATTGGATTTATTTGGAGACGATGAAAATAACTGAGAGGAACTTTGGCGTTTATCTTGTTTTTTTCCTTGTCCTATTTTCCCAAGAGCATTCCTGAGAACTCAGTGACTTACTTATTCCTTCTACAAATTTACGCATATGTACTATGTGCTAGGCACATAGGAAATCTTGCCTTTGCTCACACACTTGGCAAGGTGGTTCTGATTGAGGACTCTTTAATAGTGAAAATATTTTCACATACATGTTAATTTGAAACATTCAGAAAGGTACTTTTAATGATAAATATTTTCTTCTCCCTAATATTTCACATTGCATCTTAGCCCCATAGTCACTGCCTGGTTTTTGCACAGGACATTCTCATAATCACTGGGCATAGTAGAGTGAATTAGAGTAGAAGTGTTTTTTCTTTCTGGCAGTTGGGGATAAGTTAATAACTTAGCACTTAATAACTTAGCACCAAAACAATGTGTTTTTCCCCCTACCCTCTTTTGACTTGACAATAGATACCTGTTACCATAATTTTAGAAAATTATGGGAAAATGGGAAAGAATCCACATAGTACGCTTGGGAAATAAGTACCTCCTCAGCAAGTAGTAGCTCTTGTATTGTGTTGCAGAGAGGAAGGCAAATACTGGTAAACCCCAAGAGAATTTTCTAAAAATAGAAGGTGTCAATATGGGTACCTTAAGTTAGAATGAGCACAAAATTTGATCTGTAATGACTGTATAATTACTGCCAATTGCTGACTTCATTTTGGATATAATGCTGATAGATTACTGTGATTTGTGTCTGTATGTGTGTATGTTTTTTCTCTAAGGAAGGAAGTTTGTTAACATCCTGATGTGCTTTTGGTATCTAACCAGTGCCAACATCCCCAGTGAAGCCATAAGTGGGGCCCGTGTGTTCCAGGTTAAGTTGGGGGATCAGAACGTGGAAACTAAACAGCTTCTTAGTGCAAGCTATGAGTAAGTCTGATCACATTTCCTCGTTTCCTTTCTTTAGAAAATGGAAGGTAGTATGAAGATATGAGAACTAAAGGGAGCTTTCGGAAGAACAAATTGAAATTTGACAGGTGTCTGTGACGAGAGATACTCATAAAGACGCACTGGCCACAGAACAGCGTGTTCAGAAGTTAGGAAGAGGTCATGTTGCTGAACTTAAACAGTGTTTCAGCTGTCTGTCGCTACGTTACAAACCATTCCAAGTCAGTGACGTCACACAGCCATTCATTTCGCTGTTTTTCCGCTGCTCTGGAATTTCGGAAAGGCTCAGCTGTGGGGCTTTCTCTGCTCTGCCCGGCCTCAGCTGGGGTGGCAGGGGCCAGGGATTCGTCTCCACAGTGGGCTCCCTCGTTCACAGGGTGGCACCAGGATGCTCCTTAGCTTCTCCACATAATGTCTCGTTCTCCAAGGCCTCTCTTCGTGGCTTGGGCTCGTGGAGGTGTTAAGATAGTTACGTGTTCTACATGGTGGTTGGCTTCCAAAAGACAGAAGGTGCTAGACATAGCCCTCCAGTAAAGGGCTATGCCCAGGGTTGGAACAGCATCACTTCTGCCATGGTTTGCTGGTCCGCACAGTCACAGGGTCTGCACAGTGAAGGACATGGAGATACTCCACCTCTTCATGGGGCAGCAGCAAGGTCACGTTGCAGAAGAGCATGTGAGATGTAGTTACGACCATCTTTGGAAAATAAAACATGCTGTAATTGGCACATGGACCATCTACTCACTAGATAATTATTGACCATCTCCTCTTTACCAGGTACTCTGGTGGGAGTTCAGACACAGAATTGAAGGGTTCCTGCCCTTATGGAGATACTGCCTAACGGGAGGTTAGCAATCTATTTAAAAGAGACACTGTAGTGTATTATTGTGCAAATAAAATTTGGAACAGTGAATGATTCAAGCAAGTCAGTGGAGATATAGTTTAATATCTGTTTAAAAGAGAATACTTTTATGTCATCAAAGTTACAGAAATTTGCTTTAAAACAATGAACAAAACCCCAAAATGACCTAAGAAAGAAAAATATCCTGTTTCACTAAGGTAAAGAGAATTATATCTTCATTTTTTCACTTCTTGAAGGAAATGTGCTTTTTTTAAATTTCTTTTTCCTATTTAGAATTTTGCTTTACTTGTAATTACCCAAAGTATTCTATATATTTAAGTACTTATTTAATTTAAATCTACTGAATTGTCTCTTTTTAAAGACATCATCTAGAACACTATAATCAACATTAACCTTTGGTTGTTCTGATAGTCCCTACTAAGATCACATGCAGCTCATAAAGACTGCTATTCATGAATGAACTTAGTGCCAGCTATGAGTAAATCTAATCACATAACCAACTTCCATGGAAGTGCTGTTTTATCACCATAGTCCAGTTTTTTTCTCCTCATATTAGGCATATATTATAGCTAGTACTTAGCAGAATAACACGTTTCTCTCACAGACTGACAGATATTGGAGTGTGTATAGATCTGTCTGTTAAAAATACTCAGTTGAGAATATTTTGGGGGATATTTTTTGTGATGAAATTGGTAGATCAAACTTTTGATTTTTATTTACCATTATCTGTTAGCTTTTTGCTAAAACCTGCCTCAACTATATATTTGAAAATTACATAGTGATCCAGGAAGTTTTTGAACTGATACAGGCTACACATTGTTGATAATGTTTTCCTTAGATTTCAGAGAGAGTTTACACAAGGAGTGAAGCCTGACTGGACCATTGCACGGATTGAACACCCAAAGTTATTAGAATAATTGTTCTTGGAAACATCAGGAATTGAACTTTTGGCAATTACTGTGAAAGACTAAGGGAGAAAAAATTTTCAGATCAATTGATCTTCACTTAATCAAGTTTGTGGATTACTTTTGTATTATTATAAAATGTTCCTTGTAGTAAATAAGCATGATACAGTAAAGCATTTTCCGCAGGTTTTCATCACTTTCTGTAGAAGTCAAAGCAAAAAGAATCACAACAGCCCATCACTGGTGTCACGCTCAGTGTCATCTCTCATGTTACGTGTGTGTGTATGTATGCACAGACTAATCTTACAGGTAATAAAGAAGATGCTGAAAAACTACACATTTCTCAATTCATAGTCCTGAAATATTTATTTGTGGTTAATACACTTATACCAATAATTCAAGTATGTGGGAGATTAATTTTTAAAAAGTCACTGCTGCGATTTGATTACCTCTTTGTTCACTAGCTAGATGAGAAAGAATAGATGGAATTACAGCAGATGGGTCACTGCAGAACTAAAAATCAGTGAACCTTATTAAAGCACAAAGAGCAAAATGAAATGAACAGTGCCTTAGTCCCCTATGAAATAACATCAAGTCTTCTAACATACTTGTATTTGGACTCCTAGAAGATGGGATAAGGGAGACAAAAACAATGTAAAAAATAATGTCTGAAAGTTTTCCTAATTATGAAAATTATAAACCCAGAGATCCAAGAAATTCAACCATCAAGGACACACATAAAGAAAACTAAAGTACATCATAATCAAAGTGTTGAAAACAAGAGAAAATTAGAAAAGCAGCTGGAGAAGAAAAAAACAACCACATTCCAGACAGAGAGTGACTGTATTTCTTTTCTCAAACTCTTAAGTTAGAGGCCTTGGCATGGTATCTTTGAAAGAAAAAAAATATACCTTTTGACTTAGAATTCCATATTCAGGAAATATATCCTTCAGAAAAGGTGAGAAAAAGTTTTCAGACAAGGAAAAGATGATAGAATTTGTTGCCAGAAAACCTATTTTATAAGTGTTAGGGGCCAGTGGACAGAATAGAGTTCGAAAATGGACCCATGCATATTACACAACTGATTTTGACAAAGCTGCCAAGGTTATTTAATGAGAGAAGTCTTAACAAATAGAATAACTATATATTCAAATAGCAAATAACCTCATCTTTTGCCTTACATGATACATAATTTTAGTACAAAATTTAGATTGTGAAATGGATCATAGATTTAACAAAACCTAGTACTCTAGAAATTCTGGAAAGAAACAGAAATTACTGTCTTGGGATAGAGAAAGATTTCTTAGTGAATTGTGAAAGAAAAAAATTATTAATTGGAATTAATTAAAATTAATACTTCTGTTCATAGTAGCAAGGAAATGAAAAGTCAGGTCACAGGTTGGGGAAAACTATTTGTAATATATATTATCTAACAAAGGGCCTGTATTTGGAATATATAAATAATGCTTATAACTCAATAATGGAAAATTAGCTTTATACAACTATCATGACTCATCAAACTATAGACTTAAAATGGGTACATCTTACTATATGTAAATTATTATATATTTTAATGCAAGTTATACCTAAACAAAGCTTGCTAAAATATTTAGCAAGAGTAATTTGCAGAAAAATAAACTCAAATGATTAAATTTTTATAAAGTATAAAGCAGCTAATCTATGTTTTATCTAATCTTAGGTGAAACAGAAAATAAGATCAATTAGGCACATAATTGGCAGCCTGGATGGGAGAGGAGTTTGGGGGAGAATGGATACAAGTGTTTGTATGGCTGAGTCCCTTTGCCATTCACCTGAAACAATCACATTATTAATCACCTATATCCCAATGCAAAATAAAAAGTTTAAGAAAGGCACATATTACTAAAAAAAAAAAGAACACAACCAGTTACACTATCTACATCTCCAGTGGTTTTAAAAATAGATGGGGAGTGTTTAACTTAGAATCAATGAAATACAGTGCTATTTATTGTTTGTGAAAATAGACATAAATTGTAAAACTTTTCTAAAATGCAAGAGATTAATAAGGCACTAAATGCATGATGTATTGTGGCAACTATCTGGGAGGGAAGGGAGTGGAACTTGACTGTAATGTTTTGTTTCTTCAAAAAAAAAATCTTGATAATCAAACTATGGTCTTTGTGTATGTTTTCTCAATAAAAGGAGCCAGGCATTGGGGGCAATTCCAGTTCTATACTGAAAACAAGAGTAACGTGAAACATATTCTCAGGCCAGAATGCAAGGACACCCTCAAAGCTGACTGAAGTAATGCTAAAAGTTATTTATTACCATTTAACAAACCCCAAATTTAAAAATAACAACAGTTACTTACTTTACCCATACATTTGGGCAGGGTTTGACTTGGTTTGTCTGCTCCATGTAGTGTTGACTGAAGTCAGTTGGGGATATTTAGCTGAAGGCCAAGTTGATGCAACATTGCTTTACTTGTGTGTCTGGCTTCTTGAAGATGTTTGGAAAGCTGGATGCACTGGGTCACTTTTGGTCTGAGTGATCTTTAAATCTTTTGTTACAAATTTTGTTAGATACAGATGAAGTAAATTGGCAGATCTGCTATCCCAGTAAATTTTCCTAGTGGTGTTATTGAATATAGCTGATTTATCCCTATTGTGTTGGGTTGTTTAATCAAAAGATTTTGGTCATTTAAGTTTGTATGGTAGGGATTCTAAGGTTTTTGTCTTGATCTCACTAGCTTTTATCCTTACAGATGCTACAATCCAGTTGTTCCTGGTGAGTTCAACATGTTTCTTGTTTGGGGGTGGGGAACGGGGTGGGGAATGGGTGGGCGTGATGGAATTCTACATATCACTGATACCAGGAAGTTTTTGTCTTTCTTTGGCTTATTTCACATAGCATAATATTTATTCAGGTTGTAGCACATGACAGGATTTCCTTCTTTTCTAAGGCTGAACAATATTCCATTATATAAATATACTACACACACACATATATATACACTATATCTTCATTCATCTGTTAACAGACATTTAATTTGTTTCCATATCTTGATTACTATTGAATAATGCTGCAGTGAACATGGAAGTACAGATTCCATTTTGAATAATGATTTCATTTTCATCTTCCTTGGATTTGTGTGTCAAGAGGTGGATTGCTCATCCTATGTTAGTTCTGTTTTTAATTTCTTGAGGAGCCTCTATTCTGTTCTCCATAATGGCTGTACCAAGTTACATCCCCACCAGCAGTGCACAAGAGTTCTCTTTTCTTCACATCCTCGCCAATTTATTTACTTTTTGACTTTCTGATGATAAGCATCCTCACAGGTGTTAGGCTTTTATTTTTGAGTTTACCTGATGATTAGTGATATTGAGCACTTCTTCTAGTATGTGTTGGCCATTTATGTATCTTTTCTTGAAAAAAATGTGTGTTCAGATCCTTTGCCCAGTTTTAAGTTGAGTTATTTGGGTTTGTTTTGTTGTTGTTGTTGAGCTGTATGGACTCTGTATATTTTGAATATTAATCCCCGTCAGATGTGTGGTTGACAAATATTTTCCCCCATTCCACAAGTTGCATTGGTGATTGTCTCCTTTACTGTGTAGAAGCATTTTAGTTTGCTGTACTCCCACTTAATGTTTGCTTTTGTTGCCTTTGCTTTAGTGTCAAATCCAAAAAAAAATCTTTCCCAAGACCACTGTCAAGGAAATTACCCCCATGATTTCTCTAGGAGTTTATGATACACAATTGTATATTTTTGCCTTAGATTCATCAAACATTAACATTCTGTCATCTCTTTTTCCTTTTCTCTCTTTTATACACACATATACACAGTTTTTATCTAAACCATTTGAAAGTAAGTTTCAAACTTCAAATACTTTATCCTAAATATTTCAACATGCATTCCCTGCTAAATAACACCATTAGCAATACTTCCATATCATTCAATATTTAAAACAAAATTTAAAATTCTACCAATTGTCTTAAAATTATCTTTTTGAACTGAGATTTAATCAAGGTTCACACATTGTGTTTGGTTAGTATGTCTTTTAAGTCTCTTTAAAATTTTTAGGAAATCCTCCATCCTTTTTATGACATTTCAATTTTGAGGAGTCTAGGATAGTAGACATATACCATATGCCATATCCTGAATGTGTTTATTATAGTGTCATTTCTATAACTTGGAATTAGGGCTAAAGACTTAATTAGATTCTTATGTCTATAAGTGATCACATATAAGTGGTTGTACTTCATAATGTAACACATATATAATGTATATATTGGAAAACTCAGCAGTGACCACAGGACTGGAAAAGGTTAGTTTTCATTCCAATCCCAAAGAAAGGCAATGCCGAAGAATATTCACACTACTGCACAATTGCACTTATCTCACATACTAGCAAAGTAGGCTTCAACAGTGAACTGTGAACTTCAGAGGTTCAAGCTGGTTTTAGAAAAGGCAGAGGAACCAGAGATCAAATTGCCAATGTCTGTTGGATCATTGAAAAAGAAAGAGTTCCAGAAAAACATCTACTTCTGCTTTATTGACTATGCCAAAGCTTTTGACTGTGTGGATCACAACAAACTGTGGAAAATTCTGAAAGAGATGGGAATAACAGACCACCTGACCTGCCTCCTGAGAAACCTGTATGCAGGTCAGGAAGCAACAGTTAGAACTGGACATGGACCAACAGACTGGTTCCAAATAGGGAAAGGAGTACATCAAGGCTGTATATTGTCACCCTGCTTATTTAACTTACATGCAGAGTACATCATGAGAAACGCTGGGCTGGCGGAAGCACAAGCTAGAATCGAGATTGCCAGGAGAAATATCAGTAACCTCAGATATGCAGATGACACCACCCTTATAGCAGAAAGCAAAGAACTAAAGAGCCTCTTGATGAAAGTGAAAGAGGAGAGTGAAAAAGTTGGCTTAAAGCTCAACATTCAGAAAACTAAGATCATGGCATCTGGTCCCATCACTTCATGGCAAATAGTTGGGGAAACAATGAAAACAGTGAGAG